CCCGCCCTCTCCCCGAAAAACAAAACAAAACACCCTGTCGGTATGATACGAAACATCTGCACACGTAAGGCAACATTTTTGGTTTTTTGTTCCCTAAAACGGCTCTTCCAAACCAAGTGCAAAAAAGTCAAAAGAAGATTTTAAGAAAATAAGGGCAGAAACAACCAACAACAAAAAAAAGATGACCCGGGTCGACAACTTAATACTGACGGAGAGAAAAAATAAATAACAAAAACATTGCCTTCTGCAGTAAATAGCGCTGAAAATGTAGGAGACTTATTTTTTTTAGTGTGGGGAGACCGGCTGGAGTCTATCCCACTGTGCAAAAACCTCTTTTTAAAGTCCCTAAAAAGACTCCTCCCCGTCTGTGAGGAGGCAGAGCAGGAGAAAAAGAGGGGAGACTGGTATTTTTTTTTTCCTAAAATGGCTACGTGTTTTCCTCAAAAATGGCCACGGATGGGGAGGACGGCGGCTCACTCCCGCCCGCTGGCTGAGTACGAGAACTGTGGGAAGTGAGGCCTCCGCTCGTTGTCCGCCGCGTCCATCCCGTCCTCATCATCTGCAGGAGAGACAGAGAGGAGGAGAGTCAGAGGAGAACATAAAACATGTGTGTGTGGGCATCTTTAAACCAGAAGGCTGTTGGTTCGACATGTGTCCCGATGGCCAGCTGTGTGTGTGTGTGAGTGAGTGAGTGAGTGAGAGTGAGTGAGTGAGTGAGTGAGTGAGTGAGTGAGTGAGTGAGTGAGTGAGTGAGTGAGTGTGTGTGTGTGTGTGTGACTGTTAGCTTCCCTAGAGCAAGGGGCACTGCTCTGTAAGAATGAGGTGTGAATGGGTGAATGACTCGTATTATGGAAAGCGCTGTAAGGGGTCTAACAGACCTGATAATATATATACATAGATAAGTCCATCCATTTTACCATGTGTGTGTGTCATGTGATTAGGGCTTTGTTTGACCGACTATAAAAGGCAATATCTTGATTGGATGGATCTCTATTGTTTGATGTTCACAAGTCAAGTGAGAAGTAGTAAATATAGATAAACATTAGCTAATAAGAATCACACAGTGACATTATTAAAGTGAGTATAATATGTTTCTATCATAGCCCACATCTAGATATCTGGTTCAGACAGACATGAACCCAAAACATGTATATTCATGATTTAGGGGATTTCCCTGCAGGTAAAAATCTCCAGTTGTCCTACACTTGATTTATTAACAAATACCTTAAAATGAATAATCCTTGGCTCTACTGAGATTATTAAAGCTGGGTATGATGATAGATAGAGATAGAATGGGAGGTATGAGACCCTCTTTAATGGTCTCACATGCAGAGCACACAGCACACAGTGACATGTGTTCTCTGCTTTTAACCCATCCTAGTACCAGGAGTGTAGTACTAGGAGCAGTGGGCAGCTATTGTACAGCGCCCGGGGAACAATGGGAGTGGGGGGGTGAAGGGGGATGTCCGGTGCCTTGCTCAAGGGCAGGGCAGGAGGTGAACTGGGACCTCTCCAAGTAGCAGTCCACGCTCCATATTTAGGTCTGTTCGGGGACTTGAACCGGCGACCCTACGGCTCACAGTCCAAGCCCCTACTGACTGAGCCAATGATACAAGTTTACCAATATTTTGCATTGAAGTTGCTGATGGTAGTTGTTTTGGGGTACAGACAGACATGAACATCATTTTTTTGTGAAGCTTAAATACTCTTAAAATAAATCCTGGTCAAGGCAAAGGTCTTTCTTAACTGGTGTCCATTGAGCGTTTCAGTTTTATTTTA